GCTTTGAAAGATTTCCCTTTAATTTCATGAAATAAATAAACAAGTAACCGAAGAAGCACACCTTGGCTGCTTCAAGTTTCTGTCGAACGATTTCTGCTCTTTCAGAATGATCATTTCCATTCACAAGAAACGAACCAATGTACTGAGAAGAAAAAAGATGAACGAATTTAAGCCCAAACCTCAGCTGGCTTGTGAACAGTCTTAAAAGCTGACAAGGATTTCTGAATTTTGGTTATATACAGTATCTCAATGTCTAAGAGGCTAGACATTTCGAGGAAAATCGAAGAAGCATAAATGCAGATAATTCGAATAATGAGCAAATGAATCACACATCACACGACTGCCCTAGACGCGGCAAATGACGCAGCCGCGAAGCTATTATGCAAGCTGTTATAAAAAGCTAGGCCATTAAGCAAACAAATAATCTATTGTTGTAATAAATAAAAACAAAATAAATAAAAAAAATTATGTAAATTTTTGTTTAAAAATAAATGCGTTTGTTAAAAATGCAATTAACAAAATATATATTTGTGCTTGTTATTTAGTTGTACACTTTTCTCCGCCACTTTTGTCTGCTTCTCAGCGTGTTCTTATCCTCATGTCTTCCCTTGATTTCTTAGCTCTAAATCTAGATCAACGCTTGCTAAGAGTATGCTCTTCTTAAAAATTTATGGTATAGGCCATCGCTGATTTGGGATGGGAAAGGCCAACTGAAATTCAAGAGGTCGTGATTCCTCTTGTATTTGAAAAAAAAAGTCTTCTAATACATGCCAGGACTGGTTCCGGCAAAACAGCCGCTTTTGCTATTCCTCTGGTAGAGGAAATTTTAAAAAGCAAACAGGTGCGTTGAAATGCTGTTGATTACATTACAGCTTCAAAGTGAACAATTTATTTATGCTTTGATTCTTGCACCGACTAAAGAACTTTGCAGTCAGGTTAATAAGACCCTCCAATGTTTGTGTAAATACACCTCAAAAAATATTAGCTTTGTTGATATTTCGCAGCACGATAATACTGAAGTCTTAAAGTAAACAATATTTGTTATCTCTTAAATAAAACAGGCCTTTTCTTGCTAACTCTCCAGACATAATAATTGGTACACCATCCAGACTATTAGCACATGCAAGATCGCACCATTTTGCTGTCGATCGCCTCAAATTTGTTGTGATTGATGAGGCAGATCTGATGGTAACTTTTGGCTATCAAGATGAAATGAAAGATCTGAAAACGTTTCTTCCTCATTCTCTTCAAGTAGGACATTTCTTTTATAGGAACACTTTTAAGGTTATCCTCTTATCTGCCACCTTACACGAGACCACAAAAGCTCTTCGAAACTGCTTAGTCAGTCGAGGTGAATGGATCAAGGTTGAACTACCTGAAGACTCTTTTCTTCCATCTTCATCGCAATTGACGCAGTACATTATCAGGTATGTTCTAGCTTACTTTTTTGT